ACACACACACACACCCGAGCCCACCCACGGCTCCCTGGGAAGTTACTGGTATGGCACAAGTGTCTTCTGCTTCAGGGGGCCATGGGTCCAGTGTTTGCCTCCATTGATGTAAAAATTTGCCAGGAATTTCACAGCCTTCTGGTCAAAATTCATCCTCAAAGTGTCTTGCTCCCTTCCCCAGGGACACCTCAGAGCTCTGTGACCTCACTGGCCAGTCAGTGGGCACCCCCCGCCTCCGTTGCCAGGGACTCCTTGGAGAAGGAATGCTGCCCAGCCCTGGAGGGACTGCCCCAGTGGGCCCCTCTGAGGGGCCCCTCCCCTGGCCTGCCGGGTGGGTCACCCTGGTGTCAGCCTTGGCCGGGAGGACCCCTAGTCGGCCCCAGTGACTCCTGGCTTGGCCTCATTTCCTCTCTTCTCCCTTCTTATCCCAACCCTCTCCTCTCATAGAATGGGGGGTCCCCTGGAGAGCCCGGGTCCACTTTAGCAGGGCTTCTGGGAGGACCGAGGCCTCCGCACAGGGATGAGGAGAGGTGGGTGCTATGGGATGCCCAGCTGTGCAGTGCCATCCAGAATGAGGCAGTAGGGGGGTAGGGTGGAGGGATCCAGGGAAACTCCCTGGAGGAGGAGGGGCTCCTGCTGGAAACCCAGCCTCAAAAAAGAAAAGTAATGGCAGGTGGGCCTGGGTGAACCATGCTGACCGTAGAGGCTGTCTTGGGACTGGAGCTGCCTGGTGGCTACGCGGGTGCCAGGCAGTACGGAGATGCGGGGGCCCGTCTTCCGCTTAGGAGCACAGAGGCTGTCAGGTGTCACAGATGAACGGGGCTGCTCAGGCTGAAATGCAAAGGAACAATAAGCCCAAATGAGTGCGAGCCTGCTTGGGCACCATGGCCCTTGCTGTGCCCTCTGCAACTGACCAGCCTGTCAGCCCCAGCCCTGTTCTTGACCTAATCGGTGCAGACAGGGCCCAGTCAGGAACATCTTATCCTCCAGGCCCACCCTACCTAGACCCAGTCTCTTTCTCTCCTGGTCCCTCCCATCCAGCACTGACCCTGCCTGGCCTCCAGAGGTGCTCCAGATGGAGGGACAGACGGACAAATGGAGACTTGCTTGAGGAAACATGTGTTTCCTTAGGGTGAGGGGCTCACGACCTGTGCTCAGGGCCCTTCCCTAGTACAGTGTTCTCTGAGAGCATAATTGACAGTGGCTGTAGGGGCAGCTTTATTAACAAAGCACTGAACGTTTGGGTTCAGTGATTGCTCCCTGTAACACCTGTTACTGTGGTGGGTGACACAGCACAGATGTCTTCAGCTCAATGTCAGTCATTCCTCGGAGTAGATAGATTCCTACGAGTGGAAGCGCCCCGTCAAAGATCGTAGTGTCTTGTATGGATGTGATATGTATTCCAGGTGCTGTCTGGACAGTGCCTGGGACCTTGCTGGCAATGAGCATCAAAGACTTCCAACATCAGACCTCGGCAGTGTTTATTTCAGGCTCAGTCTTCTGTGTATAGACTCTGGGGTCTTAAGATGTTCATTACATGGGCATTTTTCTATCATTGCACTAATTTTTCTTGCTTTTGTTTTATAAAGTTTCTATACTCGTACATGTCTGTCCACAACACTCGTTACAATCTTTGTTCCCAATTCGTAGTCCGCCTTTGAGTATTTTTTTTTCAACAGGTACTAGAATCTGCTGATTTCTTCTTTGGTTGCTACCTTCCTTTGTCTTTATAGTCGGAAAGTCATTCCTATACAACAAAATAAAATCAAATCAGGAATTGTTTAAAATGGAAGACAGTGCCCAGTTCCAGGGGAAAGGCTCTCCAGGACAGAGTCGCAACAGCTCTGAAGCTCAGAAACCCCCGGACGAGGCTTCCCACGATGCCTGTGAAGCTTCCAGAGCCTCTGGTCTCAGGAGTGGGCTTGGGTGGGGAAGCTACTTTTCAGCTGGCTGCTGGCCTCCTGGGGGCAGCAAGAGTCCAGGCCTCATTCCGCCCCACACTTCCTGACAGGCCCAAGACAGCTGTCCCAATTCTGTGAGCTCAGGGAACCTCAGTGTGACACCTCCTTAGCCTGTTGCTCGTCTGGGCCTAGGCGTCCCACCTGTAAAATGGGAGCACTCACAGGGTTAAGGAAGGGCCCAGCCCAGGTAGGGCCCAACAATGGCAGGCCTCTTCACAATGGTTTCCAGGCAACAGGGACTCCTCTCAGGGAAGGGAGTCAGACACTGAAAGGGGCCGGAGCCATCAAAGGCGCTATTGAGGCAAGATGACAGCTACTCGGAAACACAACCTCTTTACGCCAGAACCTCACTATATCCCTGGGTAAGTGCTGGAGCCCCGGGGGAGTCTGGGGTCTGCAGAGGATGGGGGAGGGCAGCAGGGGAGGGGCTCAAGGCCACCCGTGAAGACGGCACAGAAGCTGGTCTCCAGGGAGTGGGGACGAGGCCCGAGGGCCCCGGAGAGGCCTGGGGCAGGAGCGGTAGGGCCGGGGCTGCCAGGGGCGCAAACCTCTCCTCCCCTCTAGCACTGTGCTGAGAGCCCTACCAGATGGCCAACAGGTCTGTTAAGAGCAGAAAACTGGGCGCGGCCCGGCAGCTGGCAGAGGCTGGCCAAATAAACTCCGGACGCTCACTCCATAGAATGCTGCATGTTAGAAAGACATAAGCATCCGGAGTAAACTGACCGGCCAGGCTGCCAGGCTGCCTTACTCGGTACCCCCAAGGTAAAAACTAAAGTAAAAGTCAGCCCTCTCTGGAATATATGTGCACACCTACACACACACACACACACACACACACACACACACATCCACGGGAAAGAAAAAAGTCTGGGACACCTGGGTGGCTCAATCAGTTGAGTGAGTTCAAGCCCACATTGGGCTCTCTGCTGTCAGCAAAGAGCCCACTTCAGATCCTCTGTCCCCCTCTCTCTGCCCCTCCCCTGCTTGTGCTGTTTCAAAAATAAACAAACATTAAAAAGAAGAAGAGAAAGAAAAGAAAAGAAAAGAAAAGAAAAGAAAAGAAAAGAAAAGAAAAGAAAAGAAAAGAAAAGAAAAAAAAGAAGAGAAAAGAAAAGAATCCAGAAAGGAGTCAGACCCGACTTTCCACAATGGTTCTGGGCAAACATCAGGCCAGGTGATACAGAAGAGGGCTCTAACCCTTCTTGCCTCAGTCCTGCTTATCTCTCAAACTAGCAATTCTGCATTCACTTTGACAGTTTTTAAAAACGCTTTTTAAACATTTATTTATTTTTGAGAGACAGAGCATGAGCAGGGGAGGGGTAGAGAGTGAGGGAGATACAAAATTGGAAGCAGTCTCCAGGCGCCGAGCAGGCAGCACAGAACCCGGTGTGGGGCTCGAACCCACAAACCGTGAGACCATGACCCGAGCCGAAGTCGGACGCTCAACCGACTGAGCCACCCAGGCACCCCCACACCTTTGACAATTTTTTGAAAGAAAACAATTTGCCTTCCTTGGCTGATCATACAGGCCCCACGGCTACCCCCATTTGGGGCCTGCACTACGATGCCTACGTTACTCCTATCTCTCAAGGACACTCAGCCCGGCCCGTCACCTCCTACCAGCAGCCCTCCCACCTGCTTTTCAAATCCTGGCTCCATACAGTTGGCTACTGGCCTCCCGGGGGGCCAAGGTCAGTGATGCCTTCCCGGGACACCACATTGTGTAGACTGGGCTGTGCCTCAGTCCGGTTCTGGGACCTGTCACCATCCCTGTAAATGCTTCAAAGGGGCAGAATCCCCCGTTCCCTCATCTTTTTTTTTTTTTT